ACAATAGGCAGATAAATTCTGCCTATAGCTCTTGAAAAGTGCCTCAGTTAAATCAAAAAATCAGAATACAGAGAAAAAGATGCTTTAGAAATATTAGCAAATAGTAAAAAAAATTCTCTCTAATCAAGAATTAATATACAAAGAAGTATCACTAATAGAGTTAATTAGAAAAAGCAACTTGAAACTGAACATTACATACCATAATATTAATAAAATAAAAAGTAACAGCCACAAAATATAATTAATATATGAATAGATTTTGGATAATAAGATTGATATACTAGGTTTAGCAGAAACAAATATTAGCAAAAAAAAAGGTTTTTTTATTGCAAAAAATCCGAACAAATATAAAAGTTTCTGGTTAGATTCAAATGCATCAAAAAAGAAAGGCTTAGAGATTAGAATACTAGTAGAAGAAAGATGGAAAAGACATCTTGAGTAAATAAATAAAGTCAATAAATATATAATAGTAGCAAACTTCATATTCAAGCAACTGAAACTTATAGTTATAATGATATATATGCCACCTAACGACAAAGAAGAACAGAGAAAAATCCAAAGAGCAATCATAGAAAGATATATTAAAAGAACTTATCAAACACAAATAGTAATCATAGGTGACTTAAACTGCATTGTTGATCCAGAGCTAGATATGTCTAGCATTTTAAAATACAGCTTTTTTAAAAAAAATTGATTCTAAAATGGCTAATTGGTCAGAATTTTAAAAACTTTTTCAAAATAAAAAATTCAAGAAGTAAGGAATTTTTATGAATGAATGGAGAATCCAGTACAAGAATTAACCAAATTTGGATGACAGAAGAGCTTGCAAGTAGACTCATTAATGCAGAAATTCAAGATATGTCTAACTGCACAAATAGTAACCATGATGCAGCAGTTGCAAGATTGGAATGAAATTATATAACTACATAGTACAAAGTGCCAAAACTTAAAAAGTTAAAACAATATCAAACAATTTTCCTATATGAAAAAGCAGCAAAAAAAAATTGGGAAATATATAAAGAAAAGTTAGACAGAATGCTTAAAAATTAAAACTTAGCACAAAGAATAAAAAAAAATAGGTTGAAATATATATAGAAAAGTTTAAAGAAGACTTAGATAAAATATGAGAAGTTATAAGTAGAAGTATATAAGAAGCAATAAGAAAAACAATACTAAAGAAAAAAGTTTAAATACTACTATAAACAAAAAGAACAATAAAGCAAAGAAATCTGAGCTAACTAAAGCATTATTATAGCTAGGAAGATGAATCAGCTTAGAAAAAAAAAATAGCAAATTAGGTTTGATTTCAGAAAATATAGAAGACTTTAATACTTTAGCAGAATATATAAACAAGCAGCATAGAAAAAATTACAGAGATATGGACAGAAGAAATAATCTCTGATATATGTGACTGGTAGAAGATTCTGTATAAAAGAAGAGCAGAAGAGATAGAAAAACAAAGACTAAAAGAAATAGAGAAAAACATTGAAAGAAGATGTTAAATAATCAATGACAAGCAAGAAAGAATGTTAATGAGTCTATTGAACAGACCATTAAATAAAATAAGAATAGACAAACTTGTTGAGCTAGAAGACTTAAATAGAAAGCTAATAACAAACCCATAAGAGATGTTTGAAAAGACCAAAAAGCATTTCTAGCAACAATTCAGAACATAAAACTTTCAAAGCTATAAGATTAGAAACAGGTAGGAGAAAATATATCAGCCAAAAGAAGAAATTAATAAAATTTAATATGAACAGCTAAATTAGGATATTACAGAAGAAGAATAGCTAGAAATGATATCAGAACTTAAAAATAATACAGCCTCAGGTGTGTTAGAAATTATCTATATGCTAATCAAAGTGGCTAGCAATTAGCCAAAAAATCTTTAAAAAACTAACAGAAATATGTATCAAAACAGGATTAATACTCAGAAAATAAAAGATGTCACAAATTTACCCAATATCAAAAGACTTAGATTGGCAATATAATCTGAGCAATGTAAGACCAATAGCATTGCTAAAAACTTTGTGAAAATGTATAACCAAAATATTTACTAAAAAATTGATGCAAATATTTTGTAAAAAAATATATTAAAAAAACTAAACTTTGCAGGACTGCTATGTGGATCAACAGAAGAGCCAGTACACATTATTAATACAATAATGGAAGTTGCAAAAGATAACAAAAAAGAACTTTGGCTAGTGTTACAAGATATAAAAAAGGTCTTTGATTCAGTATTATTAGTAGCATTAGATTTGGCACTTAAAAGACTTAAAATACCAAAAATAACAAGTACTCTTATTTTAAATTTGTTTGAAAATTAACAATCAAAAATCATTACAGACTTAGGAACAACAGAAGTCTTTAAGATTAAAGATAGTATTGAACAAGGTAAAGTAATTTCACTTTTAGTATAGAGAATATTCTATGTCCTATTATTAGAAAGAATCCAAAGTGACCTAAGTCTAGGCTATACATTGTACACTTCATATAATAATAGCATAAAGACTATAATGCAAAAAGAAAAAAAATAAAAACAAGCTATAATAGCATATGCAGATGATACAACATAGGTTGCATCAAGTAAAAGACAAATAAAAAAAATTATCAAAATAGCAAAAGATTTCTTTAACTTAAATAATATACAAATTAATAGAAAAAAAACCAAACTTATTATAATAAATATCAAAAAACAAAAAAAATAGAACAATCTTTTTTGGTAAAGAGTACATCCAGAAGGAGAGTGAAAATAAAATTATATGATTTTTAAAAATTTGGCTAAATCGCAAACTTAAAGAATTAATGATAAAGTCAAGAGCCAAAGAAATAGTATAAACATTTGTAAGAGGTCTAAATTCAAAAAAGCTAACAGAATATGGGTCCTATAGCTTAATGGTTAAGCTCACATATTCCATAGTTAAGGTCAATGGTTCAAGTCCGACTGGAGGCAAAATCAAAAGATTTTAGCTTCTGTAACCTATAAGGAGCCTGTAATTGAACATAAAGCCCTGTGATCAAGTCCAAGAGCAGTGATTAGAAGCACCTCTGGCACTGTGAAATGACTAAGAATAGAAGATAACCATCCACATAAAGAAGTTGTAGTCTGTTCTGTATATCTAAAGGTTCCAAATTGGAGCTTTGGTTACACCTATATGGAAGCTTATAGCAAAACAAGTGGAATATACTAATATAAATGCTGTATCAATCATGGTTGAGATATCTAAATTGGAAGTGAAAACCTACTTGAACACAGTGTGAACACCTTAGTCTAAATATAGATTCAGGCTAGGATGTTCTTAAAAAGGCAGAAAGATTGCTCATGATTGAAAACAGAACAAAGAAAAAGCTGCAGCATGATGTGACAGTAGTAGAAATATCAATCAATAGCTGAAAAAAGATGTGTATTTATCCCCAAAATAGAGTTCCATCTATATCATAAAAGAAAGTACTTAAGAGGCAGATTAGATGCACAATCTATTGGAAATGATGCTAAGACCAAGAAGGGTTGCAAACTAGCAATAGCAGCAGGAACCTGGCTTGAGATATGTGCTACCAGTACCTGAATTGGGAAGTTAGCAATGGCAGCAGGAATCTGGCTTGAGATACATGCTAAAGAGGCACTTTTCAGACAAACCAAAGATAGTAGCTTAAAAGAAATGAATGACTCAGTAGACCAATTTGGAAGTTGTTAAAAATAAGTTGTGTGACATGAGAGAAATATGTAGGTTACCTAATATAATTAGTAGTGAAACAAAAATCCAGGTTAGGTATGAATAAGACACAATACAAAACTCTAATAGAAATCATATAATTTATAAGAAATAGCATGATGTATCACAGAAACTTATATAACCTTAACTCATTATAAGACTAATTACTCAATACAGCAGGTTCAGAAGAAGCAGTAACCAATATAAGAATAGAAGATGGTTTTATTTAATAGGAGCATCTAAAAACATGTGTCAAGAAAATATTTCTAAAGCAAGCACAAAGTTGTAGAAAAACAATTTGGCATGTTTAACAATGCTAAGAGCAAAAGAACTACAATTAGTTTTGAATTTTAATTATAAAAGCCCAAATTTTAATAAAAAAAGAACAAGAATATATGAAATTTTAGAAAAAATTTTATACTAATAGTTGCATATAGATTAACAGAATTAAGTATTATGTTTGTGCATCAGTTAATTAACAAAGAAAAAAACAAAATAATTATATGATAGCAACTAAGTTTTCTAAAAAGAGGCAATATCAAAGGTAGATCAGTGAAGTGATTCAAAGTTTTAAAAATAAAAATAATAAAAGAGCCAAGCTGCAGAATAGTGAAATCAGAATTTAGAATTGCAGCTCCAAACAAAAAAAAAATTAAAGTGCAAGTAAAAGAACTATCAGATAATGTAAGTGAAAAGATTGGGTGGTTATAAATAATATACTATCTTATAAGGAAAAAAAGTACTAGTAAGAAGAGTAGTAGCTAGAATGTTTAAAACAGTACAAGTTAAATACTGAAAGGCAATTTACTAACCAAAAAGACAAAAAATAATATTAGAAAAATATAGAGGCTGCAAACATAAAAACAACAGTACTGGTAATAATTGTAAAAAAAATACAAAAAAACAGAAAATCCATAAAATGATTACAAGATATACAAATAAAAAAGATGTATAGTAACTAGAAATTAATACAAATATGTTAGATTTCATTATAAGAGAAAAAGATTGCAAGATCTCAAACTCTAAAAAATATTTAAAAAAAAAAACTCTTTCCAGTTCACTACTGGAAATTGCAAAAATACAAAATTTTACAAAAAAACAACGTAACTCTTTTTATAAACTCTAAAGACTATAGGGCAAGAGCCCTTACTCCTCGAAAAAGAAAGCTTGGCTTGTTAAATATGGGCAAGCCACAACAAAAGAAAGCTAAGTTATCAAGTCCGAAAGAAAAAACTTTTGTGCTTTTGCCAGAAACTGAAGACGATGCAAAGACAACAAAATTTTTAGAGGCATCTAACAGTGCTGAAGTAAACCAAGATATAAACACCCAGACAAGTTGTTCTACTAACAACACTTCTTTTAACTGGGCCAACATTACAGAAAAAGAACTACAAGGCAGTAAAATATGGGAAGATATCCTCTCAGAACAAACAAAAGCTTGCTCTACAACAACTGAAGAAACAAACAATACATGTCAAAACAACAATGATACAGCTAATGAACACGTGTTTAACCAAAACAGTCAATCAGGGGACAACAATCAGGATACTGATCCATTGCCCCAGACCACCAAGACTAAGATCCTGCCCCCTGGGCCAATGCCGTTAGCAAAAAATAGCTCTGCAGGCTCTAATAAGCCATTACAATGGTCCAACCTGTTCTCTAAACTTAAGGGAGAAAAAGCAGTTTTTTTCAAATCAACTACAAGACATAGAATTCATACCAAAAATGATAATGCGCTTATTTTAGACATAC